ATTAAATCAACTGATAGGATAGAGTCCTACCCTATCCACTCAGAGAGACCAGATCTGAATTCAGATCTGGAAACCTTCTGATGAGATCAGGAGAAGGCTGATCTAATCTGCAGATAAGATAAGGGCCTTATCCTTATCACTTAAAGAGAGTCCAAATTCAGATAATGATCTGAATTAGGAAGCTCCTGATAAGATCAGGAGCTGATCTCTTTAAGCTTGTAAAGCAGGAGGGGGCGAACCATCCAGATCATCCCAGAAATTCCAGAGATACTAGATCTCGAATTACAGAGAGAAGAATACACAGTGTGACTGCGCCTTCTCCTTGTGATCCCTTCCTGCCACCGCCATACTGCCAGTTCGTTCTCCAACATCGTAGGAGTGGTCAAGATTGGATCTTGACATCAGTCTTTGCTGAAAGGCTGATAGGAAGTTGTGCTCACTGCCTCCATTGGATTCTTGCTGAAGAATTCGGTTTGTGGGACGGACCCTGCTGATTATGCTCCTCCATCCACTGTGTCATCTTCAGTGGGAGCAGTCTTTGGTGATCTTCATTGAGCGTGAACACCTCCATTGAGAGATATTATTTCTCTGTATCAGGTATATCCCTCTCCTACTGTTTCGTTTCAAATCTGGTTCAGTTTATGGTTCAAGATTGATCCTTGAAAAGTATGATTTTTCTAAAATAGGGAATACGATTCCCAGTTGAAGGGAGAGAAATTTTTGAAATTCGCCCACCCTATTCCACAACTTTTGGGCATCCATGTGATGGATCTCTTATCTGTTCAGTCTCGACATCACAGAGGACCTTGTTGACATAGTATATTAGCCTCTGCACTCCATCTTCTCTGTTCAAAACCGAGCTGATGGCCTTGTCCCCAATTGATAGGTGCAAGCACAAGATCTCTCCGGGAAGGGGACGTGTAAGGAGGGGAGGTGAGGCGAGGTATTTCTTCAGTTCATCAAAGGTTCACTAACACTCTTCTGTCCATTGGAAGTCTCTTAACTTTTTGATGGCTTGGAAGAAGGGTAGGCATTTGTTGACTGACTTCGACAGGAAGCGGTTGAGGCTGGCCACTTGGCTTGTTAGTCTCTGTGTCTCCTTCACTGATCGAGGTGGCACCATATCCAATATGACTTAGATCTTCTCTAGGTTTTCCTCTATGCCTCATTGAGTGATGACGAAGCCCAGAAATTTGCCTGAGGTGACGCTGAAAGCACATTTGCTGGGGTTAAGCTTCATTTGGTATGTCCGCAAAGTGTCGAAGGTCTTGGCTAGGTCCGAGGTGTGTGCTTCAGCTTTCAGGCTCTTTGCCACCATATGATCCACGTAGGCTTCGACATTCCTCCCCATCTGATTCGTTAAGACTTTGTTGATGAGACGCTGATAGGTTGCCCCGGTATTCTTGAGGCTGAAGGGCATGACCTTATAGTAGTAGGTGTCGTGCTCAATAATGAACGAGGTCTTCCCCTCGTCATTGGGGTGCATCTTGATCTGGTTATATCCGGAGAAGGTATCCATAAAGCTAAGTATCCCATACCATGTGGTGGCGTTGATGTGGTGGTCTATCCTTGGCAAAAGAAAACTGTCCTTTAGGTAGGCTCGGTTGAGGTCTACGAAATCAATACAGATTCACCATTTCCTATTAGCTTTCTTTATGATTACCACATTCGACAACCAGTTAGGGAAGTGTACCTCTCAGATGAAGTCGGCATCGAGTAGCTTGTCAACTTCCTCTTCTATGGCCTTCCAACACTCCGGTGAAAAGTTCATCTTTATTTGACGAACTAGCCTAGAGCTTGGGTTCACGCTCAGCCTGTGAATAATGACCGATGGGTCAATTCTAGGCATGTCAATGGCAGACCAATCAAAGACGTTGGCATTAGTTTTGAGGAAGCTTACCAGTTCAGATAGTCTCTCTAGGGGAAGGTTGGACCCGACATGGATTGTTTTCTCGAGCTTGGCCTTGTCTAGGGGAACCGAGATGAGGTCCTTGTCCATTTGGCCTAGGCTCACTGGTTACTCCCTGAGGTTGAGGCCCTCAAGTGGCAATGCTTCTTTATTCTTGCCCTTTAATGCTACCACATAGAACTGGCGAGCTACTTGTTGGTCCCCCCGAACAACTCCGATGCCATGCTTGGTGGGGAACTTGAGGGCATGATGGTAGGAGGAGATGGCTGCCTTGAGTGCGTGGAGGGACGGCCTCCAGATGATGGCGTTGTAGGGGGAGCCGATCTTCATGACAAGGAACTCTGTCATCCTCGTAACCCGCCGAGGCTCTGTTCCTACCGTAATTGGTAGGGTGATTCTTCCTTCCGACCGAACTACATTGCCAGAGAAGCTGACGAGTGGGACATTAGTAGGCTAGAGGCACTCGAGCGCCAGCTGTTTACCAAGTGGCGGCATGCATGGAGATCACCAACGCATCATCATGGGACGACGGCCGCTGTTTACCAACACATCATCAGGCTGGAGGCAACTACTTATCAAATGAATCATAGAAGAGGATATCGACTGAGGAGCCGTTGTTTACAAAGATCCTCTTCACCAAAAAAATTGCGAAAATGGCCGAGATCACCAACGCATCATCATGGGGGACTGTAACCCCCTTCAGGTCCTCATCTGTGAAGGCGAGGGCTTTGCTCTACTTCAGCTTCTTCGGGGCTGGCCCTTGGATGTTCAGCTGCCTGGCGTAGGCCTTGCAAGCCGAGGTTGAGCCTTCAATGATGACGTCTATGACACTGATGAGCTATTGGTGTTGTTGTTGCAGATGAGAGGACAAGGCCCCGACCTCGCTTCTGATGTACTGCTTGAGGTGGCCGCGGTGGATGAGGGACTCTATCTTGTTTTTCAACTCATAGTAGTCCTCGGTGTCATAGCCGATGTCGCGGTGGTACTTGCAGTACTTTTTTGGGTTACCCCTCTTGGGGTTCCTCTTCATTTTCTCAGGCCACTTTACGTACTCCTCCTTGCTGACCTGCATCAAGATCTAGGTTTGGGTGGAGTTAAGTGGTGTGTATTGATTATAAGCCAAGGTCGAGGCCGATGGCTTCTTGTTGTCTTTGTTGTTGTTGTTGTTATTGCCGTGATGGTCTCCGTTCTTTCTCTTCTTCTCGGGGCCTTCGTGGTAACACTCAACCTCCCTTTCTTAGTGGTCACCGGCCAAGGCCTCCTTGGCCACGATGTACTTTTGGGCCTTCTTGAGGAATTCCGCCTTAGACTTCAGCGGGGTCTTGGCTACTGAGCACTTCAGGGTTGAGCCGGGTAGGAGGCTATTGATGGCGGCATGCATGGAGACCATCGGGTCAAGGTCTCAGACCTCAAGTTCTTCCGTTTTGAAGCGGTTGATATAAGACCACAGACTCTCACCCCGCTTCTGCTTGATGGACATCAACGAGACGACGCTCTTCTAGCATCTCTTGTTGCTGATGAAGTGGGCGAGGAACAAGTTGTCAAACTGCTCCCACGAAGTGATAGAGCGAGGTGGGAGGCCAGAGAACCATTGCCGAGCTGACCCCTAAAGGTTTCTTGGAAATTCCGGCACGTCAGCTCGTCGGAGTACCCATAGAGGAGCATGAGTGCCTTGAAACTTTCTAGGTGGTCGTCGGGGTTTGATGTCCCATCGTACATTTCTAACACAGGAGATTTGAAGTGCAAGGGGAGGGGCTTGGAGATGATGTCCAAGGTGAAAGCATCCATCCTTCCAGAGGGATGGCTTTGATTGGTCGAGGCTTCAGCTCGGCTTTCTCTAACTTGACAGAGCTCGTCCTTGATGACTTTGAGCTGAGCTTGCAATTCCGCGATCCGAGGGTCGAGGGGGACCTGTGCCCCTTCCTTGTCCTCGCGGACTCGATGGGGGTCGTCCTGGATCCCCGAGTACTCGAATGCGGGGCCGTGGCCGTTCCTTCTGGCACGACGGTCATTGAGGAGGTCACAAAGGTCGGAGACGTGAGAGGGAGAGGCACGACGTCGGACCTCGGCCCTAGAATGGGGGCTATGATGACCGTGTCATCCGCCTTCATCCCAAGAGTTATCTCTTCTTCGGCGGCGGGGATGCTATTCGAAGTCCTGGCAGTTGTCTTTGAACTAAGCTGATTCTTCCCCCTTCGACTAGGAGGTCTTGCGTGTCGAGGTGGCTGACTGGCACGTTGACTGCTACCAGATTTAGAGGGCTCAGCCTGGTGGGAGTCGGCGGGGTTGAGGGCTAGCGGGTCCATAGACTCACGCTGCCCCTGGTGGCTCGACACCTCGGCGGGGTGGCCACCCCGAGGGCAGCCTCCTACCTAGGGACACACCTCCTCGATGCACCGGGCGAGGTGGTCCAATTGGTCGAGGACCGCTTGGAGTTGTTAATTGGTGACCAGGTTTTGGGCATTCCTAGTGTTTCGTACCATGTTGATTGGAACTTAGGGGTGTTCTTGATTATAAGTTAGATTGAAGGAAGCCTTAGTGACGTTCCCATAAACGATGCCAATTGTTGATGCTCAGATTGCCCATGGTCAACATTGTCAATTCACTCCTAAGCCCGAGGGGATCTGAGGTGTTGGAAATCCAAGGATAGATGTGACTAAGGAAAGGAGCCCGAAGTGGGGGAGATCCGAGGCCCATAGTGTCTGGTATCCGAGGTGAAGAAGGATCTCGATATTGATTCTACAAGGAAAGACAATGTTAGAGGCATCGGGTGAAGACCCGAGGCGAAGAATCTGATAGTCAAGTTAGTAAGGTGGTATGAGATGGACGAGGTTTGAGGTGCGAATATATAGACGATATCACAAGAGAGCAAGAGATCTCAAGAATAAACTAGAGAACTAGAGTGTGTAATCCTTTACGTGAAGGGGGTTGCCTCTTATTTATATTTTAAGTGGCTTATTGGATTAGATGAGCTCGGATGACAAAGATTGTGTTCGTACGCGGGGTGTGTGGTCATCCCGGTTCCCGCTTTGCGCCGAGCTAGGTAACGCGCCAGCTGATTGTCTCAGCCTGACTGCGCCGCCTAACACGTGTGAGCCCTGCGATTGGTCTGGGCCATCTGCGCCTACATCAGCGGACATGCATGTAGCGCAACCCAAATGTCTCCCTTTCTTTTAGCCAACTTAACACCCAATTGCCATTTTCAGTCCCAACTCCCAAATTCCTCCACCGTTGCCAATCTCCCTCCTCTCTGGTTCTTCTGTTCAAGATGGTAGTGCCCAGCATCCTCTCCAGAGCTTCTTCTTCTTCTTCTTCTTCTTCCATCTTCTCAAGAGCTGCTTTTCTCCTTTTCCATCTGAGACGAATGAGCAATGTCCCCGAAAACTCGGTCTACGGCGGACCCAAGCCTCAGAACCCCAATAATCGAATCACCGTCACCCACCTCAAACAGAAGCACCGTAAGGGCGAACCCATAACCGTCGTCACCGCTTATGACTATCCATCAGCCGTCCACCTCGACGAAGTCGGCATTGACGTCTGTCTCGTCGGTGACTCCGCTTCCATGGTCGTTCATGGTCACGACACCACCCTCCCCATCACCCTTGACGAGATGCTCGTCCACTGTCGAGCCGTCGCTCGTGGTGCCAAACGTCCCCTCCTTGTCGGTGACCTCCCTTTTGGCACCTATGAGTCATGTCCTCAGCAGGTAAATAATCAACAGTTATGATGTAGCATATCAACACCTTAAATTTTTTCTGCATTCTCTTATCTCTGACTTGCATAATTTGTTATCCAAATTTGGCCAATTTTGGTTATGGGCTCAATTTCAATCATGGTAGGCAGTAGATACAGCCGTTAGAGTGCTCAAGGAAGGCGGCATGGATGCAATTAAATTGGAAGGAGGGGCTCCTTCCAGAATTACAGCGGCGAAGGCCATTGTTGAAGCCGGAATTGCGGTTATGGGCCACGTCGGGCTCACCCCTCAAGCAATTAGTGTTCTTGGAGGGTTTAGGCCTCAAGGAAGAAATGCTACCAGCGCTTTCAAGGTTTATCTGTTCTCTTTTTACTTGTTTGTCTCCCTCTATATTGTTCATTGATTGAAAACAAGCTGGTAGCTTAGTTCAGGTTGTGGAGACAGCACTTGCTTTGCAGGAGGCCGGATGCTTCTCGGTTGTCCTGGAATGTGTTCCAGCACCTGTTGCTGCGGCTACAACATCTGCCCTCCAAATTCCCACCATTGGTATTGGGGCTGGACCTTTCTGCAGTGGGCAAGTAAGTTACTTAGGCTCAGTTCGGATAGAGTACAAATACAATATGAACAGTACAAATACATACAAAATGATATAAATACAAGGTTTTGCACTCTACATATTTGTATTTGTACTCCTTCCAAACTGAGCCTTAGTTATTCCTTTCCTTCCCTTTTGGTACTTGCACCGATTATGAAGAAATCCTTGTATCATTAACCGCTTTATCTTAAATAAGTGTAAGGAAAATGGTGTTATAATCTAGGGTTGGGTGTTAAAGATATTGAGTTTGTATAGTTAATTAACTGGTTATCCCCTTGTTAAGCACAGAACAATTATTTTATTTATTATTTAAGCATTATAATGCATCTAATATCATGTAAAACCTATGCATTTTAGTCATGAACAGGCAAACCTGTTTAATTTTGTGGCTCCTGTAGGGACCAAAGCAGTATTGCACAGCAAGATAAGAGAGAAAATTTAAAAGGTGGCTATTTTGGAACATCCCATTTCTTTTAACAGGACTCCTATTAATAGTCCAAAAATTGTCTTTTGAATGGATAAAGATTCCTCAATAGACTAGTTTTGAATTATTATACACAAAATTTTATTAAAAGGGTCCTCATAAGATTATCTATGATACGGAAAAGGTATGGTATGGAAAGAGTTTTGACCAATCAATACCCATCCATGAACACGTTTATGATTCCAGTTTGTTGGTCAGTTTTTTGGATATCATATCTTTTCCATATCATAGTCAAACCCTTTGAAGAGATATATATTCCTTCATGAACTGGTTTTTATTATTATACCAAAAGGCATCTTTAGGTAGTTATTAATATAGATGAAAACGTAAGTACATATTACTCAACGTGGAACCGAATGGCATCCCTACTATGCCAGTTTGTCCAATGGCTATTGTTTGATGCATATGACCTCAGAGCAATCTGAGAGGAACAAAAAATCTTTGAAGCCTTTTGGGTGCTTCAAGCTATGGACTACAGTTTGTACTCCTTCCAAACTGATCCTTAGTGAATAAGTTTTTAAGGAGTCTATGGCCTCCTTGATGGCTGAAGCTGAAGTTGGGTATATCACTATACCCATGAAAATTTTATTATTTAATTATTTAACTAAAAGACAGCAATAAGTCTTTCAGTTCAGCAACTTCAGCCATTATCAAACGGATGCTTAGAATTTGATATAATATTGTTGGTGCAAAAGGGTACATGAAGAAAAAAATGTCAAGCTTTGTATCAGGTCCTATAGTTCCAAAAGTGTAAATTATTAAATAATAGATACCAAGTAAAGGCCTTGACCATGTTCTGATGGTTAGAGGAAAATGTAGAGATGTTAGAACCCAAGTTCTTTAATGAAATTCTTTAAATACAAGAGGTCGTAGAGTATTTTATAATCAATAACAGGAATTACATAAAGATCAAAAGGGAATAAAATCATTGAAAAGTAAGGGCTTCCTGATAGGCAAACCCAGGTCTTCAGGCCCCAACATATGTGATACAATAAAAAGCAAGAGCTATCCATTTCACTCCTCATCCCTAGAATTTAATTTGGCAACCCCCCTGGACCTCAATTATCTCCATGCCCAGTGAAAACATCAGGCATAGTCCCTGTAGAAGCACAATAATTTCCATTCTAATTCGATCATTCTGCCCAACTACACCCAAGTAAACCATGATCATCATGTAGAGTCTCTGAAAAGCACCCATATGTCTAATGAGCCTGGATTCCAAAAGGGAACAATAATCAAAGTTGAAAATGGGGACATAGATGATGGAAATCTTGAGACAGTACCAATTGTCTTGGAGGCTGATTTGAAGAAAATATGATCAATATATGAATGAAGCTGCTAAGTCATTACCAAAACGAATTTCCTTGAAAATCAATGTATCTTATTCCATTAGTCCAGAATAAAGAATATCTTAAGGTTAAATGTCATAGGATTGATTTGAGGAGCAACCACAGGAGGAAGGTTGAATTGCAGTACTTGTTGGTCAACAAAGTGGATAAGAAACAAAAACAACAAAGAACAAATGCCTTTAACATGGAAAATGAAAGAACCTTAATTCGGTAAGACATGGGACAACAATTGCAGCCCTGCTACAGAGAAACAGAAAAAAGTTACACATGATAGTGCATAAGTTATGCAATTCAAAAATAAAAACAAAAAGAAGAAAACAGAATCACAGTGGAATTTTGTAATTATAAACAACTCCAAGGTCTAAAATGGTAAAATCAGAAACAGAATCACCTTGTTTATGTTGGTAATTTTACAGAAGTATTTTGTACTTCCAAATTATGATCCCAAGCTCTCAAATTCTGTTGTTTATGACCATCTCATTGCAGTAGCTTCTTCCATTTGGCTATTGCAATGGTAATTGCAGTGCAGAAAATGCCTTAATGTACTATCTCAATCTCGCACAGGGTGGGTTTGGATTGGATCACCAAACTGTCTTGATTCCCCTGCATAGAAAATGCCTTAATGTACTATTAGCCATCCTCAATTTAATGGTTGGGATTCTCTACATTTTTTTAACTCCATTCTTATTTGTTTAGTACATTTGTGAAATATCCTAAAGTGAACAACTCATCCGCTTATAATTGAACATTCAGAAGACTGATTTTGAGCAAAAATAGGGGTTACTTTCACAGTGGAAAATCCTTATGATGCACTTTCAATGTGATGTATAAAACTCGGATGTTCATTGTAAAGGGAGAAATTTGCAATTTGAAAAGCTTGGTTGGGCCTTGTTGCAATGGTTGGGTTTCTCTATTGCAACCTGGATGATCAGGATTCATATCTTGGAAACAGCCTCTCTCTGTATCAGCAGGGGTAAGGTTGTGCACATCTGTCCCTCCCCAGACCCCACATTAGCAGGAGCCTCATGCACTGGGCTGGAAAGCTTGGTTGGTATTACCACCCAATTTCCAATCTCAGTCCCTATATATAAACTCCAGTTCGTTGTAGCTTTTTCCCATATAACTATAATGATTTGCTTTATTGGTTTTGTTTTTGGGCTGATGGGTCTGATTGTTGGTTCTGTATCAATTGATAGATAACTAATACCTTCATAAGCTGTTTTAATATCCTGTGTATGGAAGATACATGCTACCTCTTTGGTCAGAGTAAACCGTTTTAGTTATTAACTATGGATTTAAATATTGATGCAGGTGCTAGTCTATCATGATCTGTTAGGAATGCTACAACATCCTCATCATGCCAAAGTATAAGAATTGATATTCTGCTTTGAAATATTTTACTGGTATTCATGGAGAAGGTTTTCTGAAGGGCTACTCTTTACAGGTAACACCAAAGTTCTGTAAGCAATATGGGCGGGTGGGAGATGTCATCAATAAAGCTCTTTCACAATATAAGGAAGAAGTGACCAACCTATCTTTCCCTGGTGCTGCGCACTCTCCATATAAAATTAATACAACCGATCTTAATGGGTTATTGAATGAATTACAGAAGTTGGGGTTGGATGAAGCAGCATCTGCGGCAGTTGCTGCAGCCCAGAAGACTGAGACAGTTGGGGCACCGGAGGGAGGGAACCTAGTTGACTGAGCACAAATTATATCCATACTTGTAGCTCCCCTTTCCCCAACCAGGCAACCATAATAGACAAACACACTCACACACAGCCTTAATTGTAACAAGAGTCGTAATTTTTGTGCAGTATTAGCATATTGTTAGTTTATTTGGTTTCCATCTTATTTTTAATTGGGATGTTTAAAGGACGGAAATTACTACTAGTAACAACAGCTTTCCATTATACAACGTGTGCTTCCAATATTTGCATCCATGCAAAAATGAAGCTATTCAGCGACCTCACCTAACAGCTTAATTTCCTGACATAGTATCAGAGCTTGTTTGACCAAACGATCTAGTGTTTGAACCTCTTCACCCCAAGGTATTGGGTGGGTCTGTTTTGTCAATGCTTCAAGCCCGATATTCATGTGAGGGCTAAAAACCTATTCAGGGACATCACCTAATAGCTTCAACTCCCTGAAATTTCAAATATAAATCTGGGGCATCTAGTTAAACTAGTTAAAAGCAATATATAGTGACATTTTCAGGTTTACCTCACACTCCAAGTGGACTATTTGGGTTCGTTAATGGACAAACCCATTCCCACGAAAGTACACAGCCACCACCTCTCAAGATTCAATAGGAGAAGATTGTGAACTTAATCTAGATACGTTTCTTGGAACAACAGGACTCCCTTCTCTTAAGTTGCTTACTGACTGAAGGAGTCCTAGGTCAAGTAGTTGGATGCACCTCTTCAGAACTCTCTGGAAGTCATTGGAGAGAAACAATGATGCAATTCAACATTGTATGATTATCTTGAGTCATTGGATGATTATCTTAAGTCAAGTAGTTGGGTGCACCTCTTCAGTACTCCCTTCTCTTAAGTCATTGGATGCACCTCTTCACCTCCTCGGGTGATGCAATTCAAAATGAAATTGCAAAATCTCAGAAAAGATACGATGACTATGCATGATTATCTCAACAAAGCCAGAAGTTTGGTTGACAATCTTGCAGTTATAGGCTCACCTATTTCACCATGATTCATGCCTGAGAATCCTTTTGGGCTTGGGCCTTATGAAACTTTTGTTACATCCGTATGCACCTGCTTAGATGAGTTTGACGTTGAAGACCTTTGCCATTCTTCAATGTCTTAGATTTAGGCCCGACCCGACACTTTTTAATGCTAATATGGCTGTCAAAGTGCAAACTAGTAATCGGCCCAGATATAACCAACCCAAGCAAAGATCTCAAAATAATAGAAACACACCCTCCGGGGATGGCTATTATTATTAGAAATCAATAAGTTATTAATTATTTACATATCTAATTGTAGATCTTAATAATATGAAACTCCACTCTGAGTACCAACGTAATAGATCAAGTTAAAATTGGTGATCGAGCAGGTTTGCAAATTCTTCGTATTGGGCACTCTACATTATCTTCTAATTCACATCCACTTACATGATCCCACTATCACCAAGAATTTACTCTCTATTAGGCAATTATATTCTAATTGTTGATGCTCGGATTGGCTGAGGACAATACTATCGATTTGATCCTAAGCCCGAGTGAGACCAAGGTACCCAAGGTCCGAGGATTGAAGTGACCGAGGTGATGAAGATCCAAGGTCCAGGTCCAAGGTTCGCTGCATCTTGTGTCTGAGGTAGTCGAGGGCAAGGGAGTCAGTTCTGCAAGAGGGAAAATGTTAGAGGCCTCGGGTGAAGACCCGAGGTGAGGATTCCGATGGTCAAGTTAGTGTCGAGGTATCGAATGGACGAGGTTCGAGGCACGAGCATCCAAATGAGGTCATTGGAGAACAATAGATCTCAAGTGCAAGTGAGAAAAGCTCAAGTATTCGATCCTTTACCTGGAGGGGGGTCACCTCATATTTATAATTGAAACTGCCTGGAGGTATGTGAGCTCGAACGGTGGGGATTGAGTTCGTACACGGGGTGCGTGGCCATCTGAATCCGCCAAGTAACCCCGCGCTGTTGGTTCCTTGAAACCCGCTGAGCTGGGCAGCACACGTAAACTGATTGGTCGCGAGCTAACGTGGGCCGCCTGACACATGTAAGCCTGCGAATGATCAGGGCCATCTACGCCTACATCATTTGCCCCCACAACCGAGGCCGTGGTGGAGGTTCGATATGATAGGACCTCGGCGTCGGCCGAAGGGAGTGCATCGATTTGTACTGGGAGGCGTTGATGGGCCTTTTGCACACGTAGTGGCCTCCGGTGGCGTCAGCTCGCCTTTGTCCTTCACAGGTGACCACCGAGGCTCTTGTAGGGCCTCGGCTTTGGCTGCTCCTGTAGGGGCCTCAACTTCGGCTCTAAGGTTACCGTTGCGTGTGGACAAGGGGGAGGCTTGCCTCCCAGCCTTGTGTGAATGCTGGGTATGTCCTCCGATGTCATGTCGGTAAGTTGGAGATTCTGTTGAGGCCTCGGCCTCGGCTAAGAGTGCCGAGGAGGAAACACTAGGGTGCCGTGGGCCAAGAAAGAAACGGATCTCATTGCCGGATCCGCGTTGTGTGGGTCATGGATCCCCGACTTGGTGAGTTGGGATCGTGCCCGCGACGGGTGACGGAGTCGCTACCGTAGAGGGGACGGAACACGAGTGAACCAGGTTGTTCCTCCTGTTGAGTTAGCACGGCCGGGAGGACCAACGAGTCGCAGTGAGGAGGCAGGTTGGTTCGCTTAGCGTCGTTTCGTCTTCTCGAGGCAAGTGACACGTGTCGGTTAGTGGGCGGGGTAGCAGAGGCGGTTGTTTGGCATCCATTGGATCTGGCATGATCTGGGCCATTCATTCTCCTTTAAATAGGGGTGTTAGTCGCGCATTTTCTCACCATTTGCCTTTCAGTGCCTTTGCTTCCTAGAGTCCTCTTCCCAGAGCCTTCGGTTTTAGTTCTCGCCTTTAGAAGTCTTCGTCCTCGTCCCCGTCTTATGTTAACAACTCGCCATGTCTTTCTTAGACTCCAACCCAGAGTGCTATGAACTCTCGTGCTCCTTGGGAGCGAGCTCCTATCGTACCCCAACCCTTGTCGGCTCCGGCCAAGGCTCATCGGTTGCCAAGGTCCCAGCCCCGTGCCGAGAGGTTGAGGTGCCGAGGGAGAGGGTCACACCCGGGGATGCTGAGTGCAGCCGAAGGGGTGAGGACTCTCCCTGTGAGAGTGCCGAATCTGTGGTGCCTAGTGAGGCCGAGGGATCACCCTTAGTGGTAGTGAGGGAATCGGTCTCCAAGCTTTGACTGAGGACGGTGGCCAAGTACATTGCCTGAGAGATGAACATAGAGCGTCTATCACACTCAAAGCATGACAACATCCTTGACAACGACTAGGTGAAATCCTTATGTAGGAGGTATCACATCCCTTGGTCTTATAGGCTAAGGGTCTCTGACACTGGTGATCGGCCGTGGACACCGGAGGAGGGGGAAATCTGCATTTACAAGCACTTCCTGGAGTATGGCCTCAGGTTTCCTCTTCATCCACTAATACCCGAGCTGCTGAAGTGGTACGGGATTAACCTTAGTTAGTTGGTCCCAAATGCCCTTAAGACCATTGTTGCCATTTTGGTGGTGGCTCGGCTTTGAGACGTGGACCTGATGCCGAAGATGTTCTAAGCCATGTTTGTGATGAGGAAGCACACCTCGGAGGCCGGCATGTATTACTTCCACCCCCGCTGAGGTCGACCCATAGACAACCCTTCGTCTGTCCAAAACTGGAAGAGTAAATTCTTCTTTATCTCTTGTCCTAAGGGTTGGTCCTTCAAGTTAGACTGGGCGGAGATGTATTTAGATGTCAAGAAGGCCAAGCCAATGCTTCAGGACGATGAAGCCGCTATGGTAACCCATCTCCTTGTGTTGGGAACGCTTCTGGCCAAGCCCCAGGTGGAGGCCGAGCTCCCTTTGATTTTTGTAGGGCTCAACTCTACTTCTCTTGGTAGGAGAAGTCCTTGTGTCGGCTACTTCACACGTCAGCTGTCACCATACTTCAAGGTACTGATCTTTTGTTTCTTTTTTGTAGACATGCTGCTGGACGCCAAACGGATGCTGTTGGAGAGCGCCCTAGCGAGGAAGAAGGCTAGAATGAGGGCACGTCAGGAGAGAAGATGCCAAGGAGGCCTATCGACGTGCCTCCCATGAGAGTGGAGAGGGGGTTCGCACCTGCTGGGGGGACCCCTCGGCCACAGGCTCCCGCTAGAGGAGGGGGCGATAGAGGAAAGAGGCTGGCGGAGGAGAACCGTCCGAGGGAGGCCGGCAAGAAGAGGCTACCCGAGGTGCTGCCTGCACCTCCGATGAAGAAGCCAGCACATAAGGGTCGTCCTATTGAGGACGGTGAACAGAGGGGACCTCCTGCTGCTCCGAGGAGGACTTCTGCTAAGGGGCTTAACACCGAGCCCTCATCTGCCCCCCCCCCCTTCTTCATCAGAGCCAGCCGAGGAGGGGGAGTGTCTCACCCGGGTGTTCTGCCCTAAGTGGAACATCCGTGAAGGGGACTCTATCGATGCCGAGGGGGTCGGTAGGGCCTTGATCAAAGGAATGGTCCCCCTTAGGGATCACTTCAGGATAGTGCAGACTGATCCCCTCGTCATCCGAGACAAAGGGATGGACTTCTTGGACGAGGTGAGTTTCTTTCCCATTTTGACTTGCAATTTGTTAGCTTTCATCTGTTTTGCTGATGATGTTTCCGGTGTAGGTCTACCGTCACTATGTCCGCTTAAGAGATTGGATCAGACTTCTCCTAGATTATGTGGGCTGGCTCGAGAAGAAGAACGAGCATCTTGGGCAAATGTTGGAGGACGATCTAAAGGCCGAGAAAGCTCCGCTTGCCCGGTTCCAAGACCAACTGAAGAAGTCTGAGGAGGACTGGGCTCTCCTGGACAGGATTGCACTTGAAGCCTAGAGGGAGGCAGTAGATGCCAAGGTTTGGGCAACGGAAGCCAAGGCCAACTACCGGAATGCTGTCCTTGTTTGGCAGCAGACTTCGAAGTATCAGAGGTGCCTAGTGAACTACGCGTCCGAGGCCTACTTGGAGGGCATCGAAGACACCAAGAAGGCACTACTAAAGTTGGTGCTGGATTTTCAAATTGATGAGCTGAAGGTGCTTCCTAACTCCCTTCCTCCCGAGGATGCTGCCGAGATCCCTTCTGATGCAGCTAGCGCTGGCGTCAAGGACTCCACTGTTCCTCCAGCTGGGGGTGATGCGTAGTTGGTCTCCCGGTCTTCCTTTTTGTTTTTTGTTTTTCCTT